TAAGGCTCCAGTGAAAAACCCACAGTTACCAGTTGAATATCCTGAAGGAACGGAGTATGTATAGCCGCACTGTGTATAGGAATTTGAGTTGCTCAAAGCGTTGTCCGATATGTAGATGCCTCTGCCATAACCAAAAGTGGGTCCATAGTAGGAGCAGTGATACATTACGTGTTGTTGATTTTGATTCTGAGTCAGCTTGACAGGATTATATCCATCATTGTTGTAAAGCGAGAACAGGAAAGCTTTACTGGCTGTGGACCAACTGCAAGTACCTGAAATGAAAACAAAAGTTTAACAATTCTAAGCATTTCGGTTGAAAAGAAAAACAGAAATAATGCTATCATATATTGTAAAGTAATCTTTAGAAGAGAAGAAACAACAACAACAAAAACAGCAAAATAAATAGGCAGCGAGAGAATTGGATCTGTTGGCAAGGACATTAAGCTTGATATGCCTTGGTGACGACTGAATTTTCAAATCGGTGAAATGAGATCGCGACATTCCAGGTGGAAACTCTTTCTATAGCCGAGAAAGTGTTTTAGTTGGAGCAAGAAGACAAGCAAGGGAGAAGTCTGAAGACCGACAGAGAGAGAGATCGTCTTTCTGGAAGCTTTCGGTGGTTTACAACAGGACTTCTTATGGAAAATACACCTAACTCTGATTCACGACTCAGACTTAGTAGAATATGATGCAACTAAGTTTTGTTCTGTCAGCGTCATTAATAAACATGTCACGATTGGAAGATTGAAACAACAACGTGAAATGCTATACCTCCCAACCGGAATACATTTTCCGATTGGAGGAAAAGGTGCCACGTGCGGTGGGTCAAAACTCACTATCTCCCCTGGGGCGAACAGAATTTAGTAACTCCCCAGGGCGAGCAAAACTCACTGACTCCCTAGGGAAGCAACAGCTTTAACTTTCGACTCGCACATGATCAGGCTGTGCTCCTTGTAACCCCGGCAAATTTATGTGCCAGCCGACGTCAGGAAAACAATTTTTTCGTTGTTTCTTTTTTCTTTTTTTTGAGTTGGGAGGTATACAAAACACTTCATGACTGGCCCCGCGGGAAACAGTGAGTTCTGTTTCCCCTCGACCTCAATGTTCTCCTCGGCTTCGCCTCAGGGAACATTGAGTGTCTTGGGGATACAAAACTCACTGTTTCTCTTGGGGTCAGTCATTAAATGCTTAATGACCAAGTTCAGCGTGGTCTGGAAAACGAACCGCACAGCCACATGATTTTCAAACTTAACGCTGGCTAGCATAATTATTGACAGTACGAGACAAACATACATGAAACTGGATTAACCAGAAACTTCATTTTTCAATCGACGTTCGAGGCCGTACTGTTGTGGTTGCCAAACCAGAGTGGATATGCAATCGTAGTATAAGTCGTCAGCACTTTCATAACGTAAGTCCAAATAAATTTGGTTTCCCTTATTAGGAGAGTGTTCTCCGTATGCTTAATGCTTTCAGACACTTAAATAAAGTTTTTTCGTTCATTCGTTTGGTCTATTGCTCATTCGCTTAATTTGTGCACATGTTCGTACGTCCGTTCGCCCGTTCGTCCTTTCGTCTCTTCGTGTCTTCGTCCGTTCGTCCGTCTGTCTATCCGTTCGTCCATCCGTCTGTCCGTTTGTTCGTACGTTTATTCGCTCCCCCGTTCTTTCGTTCGTTCGTTCGTTCGTTCGTTCGTTCGTTCGTTCGTTCATTCATACGTTCCTATGTGCGTACAGTTCGTTCGCTCAGTCAGTCCTAGGGATGCGTACGACCAAAGTGGACTGGTAAGATAGTTCCTTATTTTCACTTCTTTTGTATCTCAATATCAAATGACTTTCCGCACTACAAGGAAGTCTGTTTGTCGGCAGTACATGAAGTGCATTGCTGCGAGCGATTTACTCATTCTGAATTGAGGGTGGCAAAAGGGGAGGGAGGGGGGATGGGGAGGTACCAATCACGCATCACGATGAATTTTTCTTTTAAATCACGCATCATGGAGATTTTTTTTCACCAATCACGCGTCACGTAAAAAGGTAAGTACATCGCCAATTTTGCGGTGTGGGATTTTTCCCTCTCCAGACAGGCGGTCTAACTCCACCCGCCTGTTTCATTCCTTCCTCTATAACACCATCGGGAGCCTGTCCTCAGAGAAAGAGACCTTGAATACGAATTGAGAAGACGTCTACGCCATCTTTGCCATGCTTTTGATATACAGGTGATATTTGTGTCAAAGCTTTACCCCTGTAAATCCTCTTCCGTACGGCAACGTTTTTGTCTATGGATGACATAACATGGCTTTTGAATTCAGTTAGGTCTTTATGGCGACCTTCATTAAGTGGTTCACAAACTTTTTCCTTGCATAGCCTCTCACTGTCTTCTCGAGCGGCATAAAATGACACCAAACTCTAACGTCTCTTATCTTTTCAGCCGTTTGGGATTCCCCGGGTTTGAGGAGACATTCTTTCAGACCTTTCATACGATGATTGATTGATTGATTGCTTGATTGATTGATTGAGTGAGTGATTGCTTGATTGATTGATTGATTGATTGATTGATAGGCGGTTTCCGATATGGGCTGATGCACCGCCAAAAATGATCGGTCGAGAAAATGGACAAAAATAACTCTGAAGCTCATAGTCCTGGTGCAAAGTTTAACTGTTTTCAATTGACTTATTCCTATTCTGTCACAATTGTTTGGACCTATAGTACCATGAAGATCCACAAAGATCAAAGACATCAGAGGCCCACGATTTATTGATCTCTTTTAAGATTCTATTTACTGTTTACTTTGAATGAATGGTATCGGTTGTAGTTGAAAGAACGTTCACTTATCACGGAAATCTAGTTGGCAAATCACGCGTCACTTGCTTGTAAAATAGCAAATCACCCATCATGTTATGATGTGTTGTCCAGCGTCACGAGGCTAATTTGGTCCAATTTACGGGTCACGCTGATAATTTTTGGGCGATCATGCGTCACGCAAAAACCCTTTGCCACCCTCTGAATTGAGCCACTCTAGCTTGTGAACTCCTCGTCGCCTAATTGAAACCGATAAAGTTTAGGTTTTTTTGAAAAAAAAAGTTTGCTCAAGACGAAAGCTAGTCTGCTTTATGCGAGTCGGCGCCGCTAGATTAAGTTCTCGCAGTCCTACGCGGGTGTTTGGACAACCAGTCACAATACTTTTAGCTGCGAATAAGATCGGAGCGACTCTGCTCGCAGGGTAGCTTGGAAAGATCTTCAGAGAAATTGAGGATTTTTCTTATGAATTAAGCCAACGGATGCAATTTGAGGTCGATTATGCGAAACAGGAAGATCGCGTAACATCAAAAACCGTGTTAATATCGGTTCCAAACCTGAAATAAGTACTTGTATTTCTTAAACAA